AAAGTGTTCTCAGTTCAGCGGGGAGTTGCACTTCTGTCTGTGCCCTTAGTTGTAACACATACAGGGGTCAGCAACCCCCGGCACATGTGCCGAGCATGGTGCACGTGGCCATTTTGCTTGGCGCACCACCGTCAGCCTGGGCTGTGCTGCCAGCCACGGAGCCCAGGCTGCTTCCAGCAGATGGCTAGGAGGCTGCAAGCCCTGCTGCAAGCAGACTGGGCTCCATGGGCCGGCTGCAGCTGGGAGGCTGCAAACAGCTGCTCCGGGTTCCGGCATGTAAGCACTCCAGCACCTTCCAAGGTAGACATTATGGCTTTTTTGGAATTCTGGCCAAAAAACGTTGCCTACCCCTGACACAGCATGAAGGATGGCTTGGTCTTTCTTGCTGGGACTTACATGGTGTTGGGTTGTGATGCTGTGTGATGTGGAAATCTGTGCAGTAGGGTCTCGGTTAAGACCATTAGTTCATGCTGCACAAGCCTCCAAGCAGCTGTCCAAGGATCACTGCGGGGCTTAACACCAGCTGAAAGACTTAAGGACGAAAACCGTTTACAGTATATATATGCAGCTCAAGTGCTCCTTGACAGCCAAACCTAAAGGACATCAATCCCTCTGCTAGCCTGCTATTCCATGCCAGTAGTTCAATGTGTAATCACCTGCTCTCATGTGTTTCTGTTAGGTGTCAACAAAAGGAAAGAGCCATCTTGGGACAGCTGCAGCTCAGAGTGTCAGTGGATGCATCTAAACGTTCATTAATACACTGTAGTTACGGTGCATTAAGTTTAGTACTGGGTTAACCAAGTACTAAATCAATGCGCAGTAACTCATGCTGCTGTACAGCAGCACTGGCACATAGGTTTTTAGTGTTGCTTACTGCACAGCAGCCTACAGTGCAGTAGTGGTGTATTAGCATGATTTTTGCGTGGCACGCTATTGCGCAGTGTTATTAGGCTACTGCACAATAAGCATCTTGTGTAGACATGCCCCGTTTGTTGGGATGCTGTAGGTTAGAACAATATGGCCTTCATGCCAGACAATTTTGCAGGTCACGGGGCCAAGGGGATACGCAGCAATTCTCAACTATTTCCTTTTCCACCTCTAGCTTTCCAAGAGACTCAATAACAATTCCAGTTCTGAGTGTAGGATAGGTCACATCTGGACCCAAATTACTGTGGTCTGAAAGTAAACAGTATCAGCTGCTTACTGTGTTAATTTGCTGCCAATAAATGAATATCCATTTGCACTAAGAATCCAGGAGAATGCATCTTGTTACTAATGGTCTTGTGAGCAGTTTTCCAAGACAAAATGATTTTTGTTATATTGTTTATCTTTCCATTTTAAATAGTTTTGTCCTTTTAAAATCCCATTAATAAGGAGCAGAGCAAGAATGCAAGGTTCAGCA